CTGGAGCCCGTCTGTTTCATGGCCGTGTCGGGAGCTGTGGGGGTTTTGTGTGGGTGGTGGTGGTGTGCGTGATTTTTTATTATTATTATTTTTTATTTTTTACAGGTATAGTGTTAATGGCATGGTTTTAAACTGCAATTACATTTTTCCTTTTTTTTTTTTTTTAATGGCTTTGCGAGTCTATGGTGGATGCAGTTAGTTTCTTCTAGCCTGATGGGGACCAATCTTAAGTCATCCAAAACTGTCTGGGCACTAGTTTAAAAATGGCTATAGAGCAGCTTGTTCCTACAGTTAATTATGCTGTTTCTTTAGAATTGGGTGTTCAGGAAAGCTCCCTGTGACTTCCATGACTAAGACACAAACTATGCTATTGTCTGAGTATAAATAATAAGTAGCTGCCTCGGATCTTGCAAGATATCCTGCTTTCCACTGAATCCTGAGCAGGAACTGCAGAAACTAATACTGCTTGCAGCAGGAGTGAAACTGGGCGTACTCAGCGTTACTATTGCTCTGATTGCAAGCAGAAAATGTTTCGTGCTTTGAAGCTTGCATTTTAACATAAGTTATGTATTCTGTTCATTACAATGTCTGAAAACACTTAGAATTGCCCTGTTCTTGAAGAAAGGAAAATTTTGTTGTTCTACAAAAGCTGTTTACTTTCCAAACACTGCTCCCTTTGCGGTTATCATAGTACTCTTATTATGCTTCTGTTGCTTCAAATAGCTTAATATGTGTTTATGTGACTTTGTTAATCATTAAGTTCTGTTGCCCATGTTAACTGGGTTAATATTTCAAGCATGTTAGTGTTATCAGATCTGTTTTCCCTTTCCCTGACTTGCAAAAGCCCAGTCATTTTTGACTTGTAGATTTGTGCTGTGGGAAGCAACTTGCTCCCTTTGCTGCTTTGCTTCTTGCCTCCACGTATTCTGCCACATGTCTTGGTGCTCATCACTGCCTTTACAATTGTCGTTAAATTCTTGTGGTACTTAATTTCTGAGAATTTCCCCCGCACTGTTACTATAAGCTGAGGATTCCAAGACCCTTTTTGAAGTCTACGTTAGACATGCCAAACACAACTTTTTAAGGTTTCTTAAAGCCCAGTTTGAAGCCCAGTGACTGTTCCTAGAAATGACCAACTTTCAATTCAATAGCTTTCGTTCTCTTCTCTGCATTATTTGTACCCTATTGCTGGAAAAATTTATTGCTACATTGTAGACAGTTTACAAGTGTGATAAGTGTTTTGCCAGCTCACTCTAGCTGGATTGAGACACTGTAAATTCTTTATATTGGCTCTCATTTCAGTGCTTGTGCTATTGACCTACTCTTGATCACCTGATAGCTCGTGACATAAGTGACTGGGCAGGCTTCATGTCTGGGTTGCTCATTGGCTTGCTGTAGCGTGGTTACTGGTGGCTTTTAACAGATCAGTAGATATTTAGTAAGACTAGTGAAAATCTATAGTTCTCAGGCAGGCAAACTTTGGAGGGTTGGCTTTCCAGCATAGCTGCAAGGTGTGGTTGTTCTTGTTTATGCAAGTAGTCTCTCTTAAAGGTGCTCTGGGGATTAAGAATGCAGGTGTGCATCCTGTGTGTAGGATTAAACTTTTATTGACTGATTTCAGTAGAAACCATTGACAGTATTTTGATAGAGCGAAGAAGAATCTGATTAGCTCTGATCAGGACACTAGTTAAAAGGCCTGTGCTTAAAGGCGCAATTCTGCTGAGCTTGAAAGAAGGGGAGGACCCTAGAAAGAAGGGGAGGACTTAGACAAATGCGATAGAGCAAGATCTCTTGCTGAAAATGAGATGTAAATGGTTATTGTTGGTCAGAAAATCTTTCTACTGGAACTGACCTGTAGAATTTCCCAGACAAGTAATGCTCCAGTGCCCTGCCTTTCTGCTGTAACTGATAAGCTTCTATTTTAAATGTGTAGTACTTTGTGTGGGGGTGTCCTAGGGCAGTGTACCTGGTACCTTGTGGAATGTTTGTTTGGAGAGGAATTGTTTGAATCTTCTTCATTAGAAACCTGACTGACTTGAACCTACTAATGGGACAGAACTGTTTCTGTGAAACAACTTGAACCAAGCAGCTTCACAGAAACAGGAGGACTGTAGTGTAGCCAAACGTGCCCCAAATAACACTTCAGTTTGCATCTAAAACAGTTGAATAACAAGTTAATCCCGGCTTTGCTGTAAAGCTGCTAACTGTTCTGCTCTGTTCACCTACAGGTTGTGACTGTTTCTCTTCTGTCGTCCGTGTGGAAAGTGCCACACACACTCCAGAACAACGACGGCTTTTGCTTGCATTTTCCAGTGTTTCTTTTGTCAGCGTGTTCAGCAAAGTTGTAATTCTTCAAGTGCCAGCCCTGAGCTGAGTGAGGAGCCAGCAGCAGAGATGGTAAAAATGACAAAGTCAAAAACGTTCCAGGCTTACCTGCCGAACTGTCATCGAACCTACAGCTGCATCCACTGCAGAGCCCATCTAGCCAATCACGATGAATTGATCTCTAAGGCAAGTGGTTTGCTTAGAGGCCTCATGAGTGATTTTTTTTTTTTTTTTTTAACCAAAATGGTTGTCATTGTATCAATGCTCCCTGTAGATAAGGGTTGCAAATCTGATGCAAAGAATCTTCTCTGGGTTCATTCTTGGATCATAGGCAGTGTGTACTGAGAAATGGATATCTTCTAGGAACTCCTGAAAGTGTCATAAAGACTGATCTAATACATTTCCCATATTCACAATCTTCACCTATTTCCAGGTAGGTAATAAATGAAAGATGAGATCTCAGGAATCTGCTATGGAAAACTATCGGAAGAAAATACAGAGGTTAAGGTGGGGAAGTCATTCTGATAAAGGTTATTCTAGGTAAAGATTATTGTTGACTCTGAAGCTCATAAAGCTGTTTCCAGAATGCCTTCCTGATATTGTGAAGTCTGTCAACACATTCTTTGAATCATTTTATGACAAAAGTAAATAATATTAGTGTGAGAGATGCTCAGAAGAGCTAGACTGTCTAAGCTTAGAGGAAGTGTGGATTCTTGAAACAGAAACTTACTTAGAGGAAGTGTTTATTGTTGAAGCAGGCTGGGCCTGTCTGTCTTACCTGTTGGAAGAAACCAAGATTTGTGATGTATGAAATATGTAGAAAACTTGAAGCTTGGGATAAGTACTTGACAGACTTGTTCATTCGTTGTTTTAAAATATGTTCCTGATGGATTTGCTCTTAACTATGTCCTGGAGAAAACATTTCCATCATTCCTCAAGCTGCTTTTTTATCTCTGAAAGTGCTTTCTGTAAGCTTATTTTGCTGAATAAAAATGTTAGTGCTAAACCATTTCTAGAACTACCTTCATTGCTGCCTGTTGCTTCTGCTCGCTTGTCTTTAGCACATTACTGAGATAATTCTTTTTGAATGCTGAAGAGAGTGGGAAGGCTGTTGCTTCTGAGTTCAGATTTTCCTTGGGCAAGGAGGAAAGCAAATTTGCTTGTTGATCCACCAGAGGGTTATGGGAAAACATGTTCTGCTACTATACAATTTTTCTTGTGTTACTGATCTTTCAGATCTTCTCCCTTTCCCTAAATGCTTCTTTCCCTCAATTTAGCATATGTATGAAGTACTCTCACTGCATGGAATTGGAAGCTAACTCATTAAATGCAAAGCAGTTATCTGGCTACACACACAAAATGATGTGGAAACTTTATCGTGTAATACTTTTTATTTGTATTAAACTAAAAAATGCCCTTTTCTTTATAGTGACTATTCGTATTTAGTAATCTCATTAAAAACGAAAAACTTGTAGGTAGTAATGCTTAGATTTCATTTGTTTTAGTCTCTATCCAAAAATATCTGTATTGGAGATGACCTTTCTTACTACACTTGATTATAAATTACAAGGAACTGTAACTTCATTATTCACATTTTTTCCTGAACCTGGTTGTAGGAATTGATACCGCATACAGAAAGAATACAAGAAATTTTGCAGAGGGGTTTCTTAAAGGTTATATAGACTTATCAAGAAAATATAATCCTGCACACATACTTAGTATGCAACTCTTTCAGTCAACTTTTCATGCCCTGCAACTAAGCTGTGTCAGTACCCACATGGTACCGACCCACATGTTCCATGGCCTCGGCAATCTCGGTCAGAAGAATCTTTTGCATATCACTTTAAAGTGAATTACATGCTCATATTACAGCTTTAAAAATAACTTCAAATGGTTTAATTTTTTGCGGGAGAGGCTGCAGAATATATGGGACACTCCTTAAAAATATGTTGAGTAAACAACAATATTTTTTGAGTGGTTTGTAAGACTATTAGGCAAGTATTTGGGAATGTTTCAGCCTTAATCCCGGCTCCAATCAATTCCACTGTGGACTGAATATGAATCAAATTACAAGTGTTTCTGTGTTTTCAGGCTGACCATCTGCTTATTTGACTTAAAACACCTTTTTAAAAAAAATAAACAAACTTATTTTCACAGAAGACTGGTCAGTTGCCAGTCTATTTGGGATTAAGACTTAATGTAAGGTATTTCTTTTGTATGTTTGTAAAACTTCAAATTGTTTATCTATTGTACTTGTTTGTGGAATATAGGCTTAAAAAAAAAAAACTTGTATATTCCTCTATTGGAAAAGTTCTTTTAATGGAAACAACTGAGATAGCCACCTTTACTCAGCTTTATCTTGTAGGATTAACAGCAAACACTGCTTTTTCTAGTGAGGGAAAACTGGGAGAAAATAAGTGTTCATTTACTTAATTTCTAGGCGAACAATTATTTTTTTTGTTTTAAAAACTTGTCTAATATCCTAGGCTTCCTGCAACTGGAGAATCCCCCTTAGACTTCAAAGAGTGCTAACAGTGAATAACTCAACTGTTTCTTCATGAGAACTTTTTTTTCCCAAAGTTCTCTCAAGTGCCCTTTTGAGCACCACTAAGTGCTTTACCCTCCCTGCTACCTTATAACAGGATCGGTGTGGGTAAGTTAGTGATGTGGATACTTCATATTAACTAGCTCTGAAGTCCAGTTACCATACTGGACTCCCTAGCTGCAACAAAAATACCTGCAACCATTTCAAGAAGAGCAAGTTAACTGTATAAGCTCTAAAATTCTTTGAAAAGAATGCTTGAAGCAGCCTCTCATCTCAGTACTGTTGAGATATGTCAAGTGTCATCCTCTGCTTTGTGCTGCATAGTTTCTGTGCAGCCTTGGATTTAGGGATGGAGCAGAAAATCATTCTGCTCAGTCTAACTTCTGCCTGCCTCTGCACTTAGTGAGCATAAATTTTGGCTACACTGTGTCTGTGTTTTTAACTGCCACCTCCAAAACCCCTAGCTCTACAAATACTCTTCAGCAGAAACAAGGCAAATGGGTTTGAAAATTGGCTAAAATTTCTGCATTTGTGGGCTTTTTGTTGGCTTGTTTCCCAGATGTGTGGCTTTCTTATATCTGATAAAAGTACCTTAAATTGTAGTTCCTGAAGTTAAAGCAGCTACACCTACCTTTCTAATGCACTTTCAGGCATAAGCATTTGTTATGCTTAACCCTGTAAGGTGAAAATGAAAATAGAGGTTGTGCAAAGAGATGGGTGGTATTTCTCTTAAGGGTTGGGTGTGGTATAAAAAGCAGAGACCTACATTCTCTTGTCAATCTTCCATCTGATTCAGGACTTCAATTTATTAGACTTCAGTATAAATTACAACTCTTGCTTTGGAGAACCCTTGATAGCAATCACCTGGCAAGGATGACTGCACACAATTCACCTTTTACAGAAGAGAATAAAATGAACAGCACAGTATCTTTCTTGCTTCAAAATCAATCATGAAACTCATCTTTCTCTTTTTCTACCTGTAAGTTTTCATATGCTGATAGTGAAATGACAACTAAGATTTTTAGGAATGGCTTAGAAATCAGAGCATGAGTTACTAGGGCATTATTATATGTGGTGCCAGCACAAGCAAGGGAATTCGCTTTCATGCATAGTTTTTATTTTTTCCAAGAACAAAAGGCTGTTTAGTGTTGAAACCCCCTTGGATTCTAATGATTAGTAGAGGATTTGTTCACTAAATAGTTTTTTCCTCTATAACCTTGAATATTTTCTGTTCTGGGGGACTCAGCTTGGGGGAGGCTGCCATTTATAGACAATGGTGCATATATGTAGCTTTTAAAGCAATTCTATTTTTTTTTAAACTTAATTTGAAAAATCTTCTGATTTGGTCATAAATGGTAGACATATGTGATGATAGCTAGCAAAGTATTGCTTGGAGAGCATCAGTTCTAACTTCTGCTGAGTGAGCAGTCGTGCAACTAACTAGGTGCTTTCTAACCCTAGTCCTGATCTACCTCCTTAATTTCAGAAGTAGATTAATCTGCTGTTTAATGTACTGTACTGAATTAACTAGTAACAGATGTGAAAGCTCAAGTTAGTTTTTCTGAACTGGTTCATTTAATTCTTAGAATATTAGAATATATATTTTTAAAAACTTAGAAATCTTAAGAAGATGCAAAACAGTGTTGTTCAAGTTGTTTTCCAATCATGAAGAAATGGAGACAAGAGCCAACAAATTACTGTAATAGAAACTGTGGAAGCTAATGGATATATTGCAGTAGACAGTCTTTTACTGAAACTGCTTGAATCATTTTACAATGTGCCTTAATGCTAAAGATGGAGAAAAATCTGGATTATGTATATAGTCATCTGTGTAAATACTGTCACTTTCTTCTCTATCATTCATTGCAAAGTACGTCTGAGCAGAGGAAAAGGCCTGTGTAAGCCACAGGCAAGACTAGGTGTGTAAATAATTTCAGGAACAAGTTCTGCTGCAGGGTATATGTAACTGTCATTGACTTTGCTGGGAAACCCTTGCACCTTTGGATAAAACAGCAATCTTGGTGATTAAGTTTAATTCTCCGAGGCATTTAGTACCCTTGCTTTGATTGTTGATGAGAAGAAAAAGTCTTTGGCTAAGTAGATGCCAAAACAATTTTAGCCTTATTTAGCAAGTCTGTTGTTGTTGTCTACTGTTGTTTAACGGTTTATTGTCTTTTAAGTAAATGTGCAGTTCTTAGCTTGATCCAATTTGGTAATCTAGCTTTAGCCAAAGAATACTCGAAGAAAGAATTTGGCCTATTGTGTATTGTGCACTTGAAAACCATTTTTATCTCCTACTAGAAATTTTGAAAATGTGTCCAACTTTATAAATGTTCAGGTGATAACTTTCTGTTCTAATAAGCTCCTAGTTTGGCGAGTTTGTCTTTTTATTGTTGTTTTTCTCTTCTATCAGAAGATTCTAGTTTTTAGAAGAGAAGTAATCTTTGGAAAGTATCCAGTAGGAGATTGGAGAGCCTAAAGGAGCTGGAGAGCACAAGGGAAGGTTCTGTTCTTTGGGTGTTTTGACATAATTACTTCTGAAATGCATTCAAGATGCTGTATAGCTCAAGATAACTTGTCCTGCCTGACAAAGTTTTTACTTCTGGAAATATAATTTCCCAAACCTGCAGCGATGCAGTTTCTTGGATTCATCTTTTTAGAGTTGTTTTCTGCTTATGGAATGTTAGGATTCTTCATAAAAATCAGTAGAAAAACTAATGAACAGGTATTCTCTCTTTTTTTTTTTTTTTCCTGATGTTGATTTGTCTTGGAATCATCTAGGATTTGCTTAAGAAGCAGCTGCACGCCACTATCTCTAGTTCTCTGCTGTGCAAAGGAGTTGGATCTTGCTGTATTAAAGGAGCTGGATCTACTGGCTTGCAAAAGATCTTGAGAGCAGTAACAACAGATGGGATAAATCTTTTTTTCTGGATAAATTCAACATAAGTAGCAGCCAATGATTTTTTAAATTTATTTTCCTGATCTTAAGAGAGCCAAGAGATGTTCACTGTCTCTAATGCATTTTATTCAGAAGATAATTTAAGACATCAGAGCATTTGTATGTGTTTCTGAATTAACTTTCAAGATGCTGCCCCTAAGAATACTGTTGTCTGAAAGTATTACAGAATCATATCTTTGCATTGCGTATTTGTTCACACTGCTAATTCAAAGTGATTTTTCCTAATTTGTAAAGGAAACTTGAAAGCAAGCACAGACTTCTTTCACTGTTGTTCTCTAAAGTTATTTTTCATTGCTAGTGAACAGCTTGCGAGTTGTACTTAGGTTTGGTCTCTAAACGTCATTTGGACTTGCAATAACGTCTCTCACCAGAGAGGTTGTGGAGTCTCCTTCTCTGGAGATCTCCAAACCCGCTTGGACGCAGTCCTGTGCCACGTGCTCCAGGTGACCCTGCGTGTGCAGGGGGCTGGACTAGGTGACCTCGAGAGGTCCCTTCCAACCTTCAGCATTCTGTGATCCCCTTAGTACTTGCTAAGCTGGTAGTTTCTGTGGACTTCTTCCATGGATCATGTTCTGCAGTCACCCCTCCTATCTCTAATACTTCCCATCTGTAGGGAATAATTAATTACATTATAAGCTTTTTAGTATTTTCCTTCTCCCACATATGCCCTTAGCTATCTATTAAGGCAGGAAATATATTCTGCTTAAAGGACATTTCATTTTCTCCTTAGTTAAAAAAGCTAATTCTGGTGTTACAGGAAATCTTGGAAGTACAGTTCATATATAATTTTGCAGGTATATGCTATTGTTTAAGTGAAACATTTTAAGTTCCTTTACTGTAATATATATACAACTGTAATATATATTGATAAACTTATGGATATACTAAGATCTCATAAATCTTTGTTGATATGCTTCTACTACAGTGTAGTTAGTCAACGATGTGGATTTTCTTTGGAAAAAAATACTTGTAAACCTATTCCATATTATTAATTGAGAACCATCAAAAACAGTCTTAAAGGATGTTTATGTTCTAATTGAGAATATTGGTTTAACTAGTGAATTGCAGAACGGCTAAGTGAAAAGGTTGCTATGAGTCATAACTTATAACCCTTGTTCACCATTCCCTCTAATTTTTGTTGTTCACCATTCCCTCTAATTTTTGTTGTTCACCATTCCCTCTAATTTCTTATGCTTTTACTGGGTTAAATGCATACTGAGGATTCACAGTTACATCAATAGATACAATAGTAAGCTATGTTTTAATTATAATTGCTTATGTATCTGCTTACAGTCTTGGAAGCGTTGAAGAATTTTGCCATTAAAGTTTTGCATTTGCATAGGCAGTACTGTGTGGAAGTGCAGTTTGTCTTGAGACTCGTTTGAACAGTTGTGCCTGTTAGTTCTTGGCACTGTGATTTAAAATACTCCTTGAGGAGCTGACACACAAGGAGTGTAACCTGTCAGCATCTTAAAGCTCCTATCAGCATCACCGAATCCTGCAACACAGAGGGTGAGGAACGAGAGTGCGGTGAATGTTTTTTATGCCTGTTAGTTGATGGAGCCCTACGTGTTAATCAGTGTTCTGCCCCACATGCCATGCAGAATTGGAAAATAATGGAAGTAATGTCTCTGATACAGCCATGGAAAAAGGCAAATGCAGTGCTAGGAATCAGAGGATCTATTTCCAGTAGAGAGGGAAGTAGTGATGCTTTTGGTCAAAATACGGTGAGACTTCATACAGAATATTGACTTCTCTTTCATCTTTGAGAAAGAAACTTGCATTGGAGCAATTTTTATAGTGTGATTTTCATATGAATGGGAATGTGATGTGAATAGGATATTATTTATATGATAAAGTTGATTTGACTGGGCAAAACAAATCAGCTTATGCCATAAGCTGACTGATAGGTGCAGTGAGATGAAGCATGTGATTAGTTTAACAGGAGAGTATATAAAAATAAAACATTTAAAGTGCGATTTAAAGCATGTTTTTCAACTTGTTTAATGTAAAAAAAGAATTTACAATCATGTTAATAAATGAGTAGTTGTCCTTCGGTTTAAGTGTCCATCACAGGAGATGTCCAAGTTTAATGCTGTTAGGCAATCAATGCTGATAGCTGTTATAAAACACTCTGAAAGTTTTATCAATTTCACCCATGTGACACTGAATTTTAGTATTTCATGAATAAAAGGACTTGCGAAGAGTTTTCGGTTTTTTGTTGTGGGGGGGGGGGGAATGGAGAGGTGGGGGTGTTGACAACTATAGTTGTCTTAATTCAGTTTTTGCCTTCATCTTTGTGTTCTCTGTTTCTGTACTGAGCCAGGGCTCTAATTTAGAAGCTCCAGACTGTAGTTTCTTACCATTCTGCTGGTGTTGCGAGGTGCTTTCAGGTGTCTGAGGAGAACGGAGTTGGTGGGTTCCCCCCAGGTAGGTTGAGGAAGGTGCAGGGGTTACGTTCTGGCATAGCTGTGAGGACAGTGCTCAGCTGCATCTCTCCTTTCAGGGTCAGCAGCAGCCCAAGTCTTGGTTTTCACTGTGCTGCATAGCTCATCTTCTTCCTTGCCTTGTGCAAAAAGCACTTGCAGTGCTGGATAGTAGGGAAGGTGCCTTTTCTCTTTGCTGTAGATGGGGAAATACTCTGAGCAAAATTTTAATAATTATTTGAAATGACTGATAGGATGAAAGTGGTAATACTGTAAGCTGTTAAGCTCAAGGTGAGATTTTGAGTAGTTAAAGGTTGGATGCAACTACTGTGCCACTGGTGGTGGTTACAGCAGTTTCTTGTCATGGTTTTTCTTTTAACGTGCTTCTGTGGAGTATATAATTCAGCTAGTGCTGAACAACAAGTGTTAATTTATAGTCGTGTTTCCCATTGACAGCTTTAAAAAAAATTGTATTCTAATTAAGTTGATATGACAGTTATATAGGTCTTACGTTGCTAATAATTAGACTGGCAAAATGTATGTCTTGATGCCAAGTGACTTTATATAACTCCAAATATAACTATTCAGAAAAAGAATCCATTGCAGAGGGTACATCTCCCTGTGGTTTCATGCCTAATGTTTCTAAAACCATTCAGAGATATTCAAGGTGAGATTCTTTTTCCCCAAATATTCCGTGTTGATAAGTTGGTCTTTGATCTTCAATACTAGAACTTCAGGGATTGGTAAAACAGCTGCACTTTGTCTTCAGCATGGGGAAGATGGTTAATGTTCTTGAAACTAGGAGGAAAGCATAGAGGTCTTTGTAGGTGCAGTGCTGCAGAGAGGTATAAGAAATGTTGATTTAAATGTGACCTGGTTTGAATGGCAAATAATAGCCATGTAAAATTGGCAAGTAACTCGATCCAGAAGGAACAAATCAATAGATCAAAACAGTGGAGTCCAAACACGCCAAGCATGTCCCGAGCCTGGCTCTGGGCTGCCCACGAGTGTTGCCAATGTGCTTGTGGCTCAAGGCTGTCTGAAAGACCAGGCAGATTGAGGCTCCTGGGGCTTCGTTAGCGTGGGGAGTTTTCACTGCGCATATCAGAAAAGTTGCTACTTTCATTCAATGCAGAAGGAACAAAGATTTTGCACTGAAGCTGCTCTGCAAACCAAAGCAACCTGCAGTGAATGGGATTGATTACGGCTTTTACTTCAAAACTGTGCCCTTGCTCTGGGCTGAAACATTAATTTAGATGCAGCCAACAAAGTCCAGCTATCTTCTTTTGTCCATAATCTAGCAAGGATGTGAGAGATTTTGAAACATATGGCTGTCTTAAGCACTTGATGGTAACAGTCATTTTATTAAAGTCAAGCTGAGCTTAAATTGATCAGAAAGATTCCCTTAATAGGGAGTTAGAATTTTATACTCAGTCCAGAATATTGTTGCTCTTATCTCAAATAATGCAATGAAATGGGGAAAAAAAAAAAACCACAAAAAAAACCACCACCCTTTTGTGTACTGGGGGAGGGGAAAGAAGTTGGAAATAACTCTTTTGAGCTGATTTTAAGAATAGATTATTTTAATTAGCATGAAAGATGTCCTAGGAAAATGAAAGCTGATATCTTTGAGAGTGGTAGGGAAAAAGAATGTTTTGTTTGCATTTTCGATGTCAGTTATTTTGAGTGAGAATATTTAACAACAGTTGCTAAAATATCAGTCTGAAAACTGATACCAGTGAGGCCTTGCTATAAATAATACATATAAACTTCTAACTTCCAGTAGTTCAACTGAAATCAGTTATATTTGTGTCAAGTTTCTATGCATAGTAACATACCCTTCTGGAATTTAACAAGTGTACTCTTCTTTTTCATGCAGTCCTTTCAGGGAAGCCAGGGACGAGCCTACCTCTTTAATTCTGTGTAAGTACCTCTTTAATTCTGTGTGTGTGTGTGTATATATATTTATATATATATTGCAGTTATGGGCACTGCCAACTGAGTATGACTTTTTGGTGTGCTTCATAAGTGGAAAACAGTAGGGAATTAGTACAAAAGCTGTGCTTTGCCTTGTTCTTCTAAACTATGTCTTTACTCACTATCCATAGTTATTAAAAAGCTACTGAGTTGGTTTTAAATAACTCACATAACATGTCATATTTCTTGAGCAATTCTGATAATGGATGAAAATTTGGGAGAGGGTAAAATTCCATGTGTATAATGCCAAGTCTTCATCAGGAGGTGCCACTAGGATATATTGTAGAATTCAAAGCCCATTGTGTGACTGTGAATTTTATTTGGACAACTTTGCTCTAGTCTAAAGGATACTTTTTCAGTGAAATGTTTGGATCACTTTACAGGTTAACATTACATTATAATTAGTACTTCGTAAATGACCTTGACTATTGCAAACCTACTAGAGGCAAAAGATTTCTGATCTAATCAAGCCTAATATTTGCAGTTTTAGGCATGTGCTGTACAAGTCTCTATGTTTGAATACATTTGCTAAATGTATTTAGCAAATGGACATTAAGCAAAAGGATGTATTGCATTTTGCATTTAGCAAAAGGATGTATTTTAAGTTTCTGATATATTGAATTACATTTTTGTCTTTATTTTTAATCAATTTATTGTGTTACAGTATTTGGAAAAAGAAATGCAGTTAAATGACTTATAAGTCATTTATATTTATAGAGCGGGATAATGGAACTGTAAAAGACTTTATTGTAAATCCATCCTTGAAATTCCATTTATATATACTTTATATATAAAAATATATTTATATGTTCTTTTTATAGCTCAGTGGACACTTGAGACTTCTGGTACAGTTGTAGTACTAAGAATCTGGTAGTACAACATCAAAAGTTGCCAAGTGTTGTTGTTACAATGCTGTCAACAAACTTTGTTTAGTCTTGTCTGATCTATCATGTGTAGGCTCTTAGTCAGGAAAAAATATCGTGACACTATTTCATGGGATAGTTTGTTTTTATATTTACTATTTGTTCATCGTGTCATTGTCTGCTAATCTGTGGTAAAGAAATATTTATGAGGGCATTTCCTTGCTGCTATATTCAAATTGGTTCTAAATTAAGCTTTTTTTCCCCCCTTTTTTAAAAATTATTGCTTAGTATTCTGTTCTCTGGAAGTTTAAATACTTAACATGTCCCACCAGATGGGAGTGAGTAAGCCTCTCTAACGGCGAGTTTAAATACTTAACATGTCCCACCAGGTGGGAGTGAGTAAGAATACTGTACACTAATTTATTAAAAAGTGAAATTGGAATGAAACTTTTTTTTCTTGTTCCTCAGGTCAGTGTAAAACCAGAAGCTATTTTAAAGTGTTGAACAAGGCAGATGTGTAATTTTTATATATCTACTTGTGTTATGTATGACATTTTTAACTAGTTTTTGTCTTCCGGAGGAAAGGTGGGTGAGAGGTTAAAAAGAAAACATTCTTATGTGGTTAACGTAGAAATGCTTCTCTTTTCTGCAGGGTAAATGTGGGCTGTGGTCCAGCAGAGGAGCGAGTCCTTCTGACAGGTTTACATGCTGTAGCAGATATCTATTGTGAAAACTGTAAAACCACTCTTGGATGGAAATATGTAAGCAATAGACCCAACGTTTTGATAAGTGCTTTATCAGAGCAGGTTAGGTGTTACGGCTGCGTTGGCTGATGTTAGGTCTGGTGCTTTTCCATCTGCCAGACATTCAGTAGTATAGTTTAGTTCCATTAAAGCTACTGGAATGTTGTACAGATAGCAAAGCCAGCACAAGCTGTATGTTCTATTACAGATACCTAGTACTTTTTCAATAGTACCTTTTTGGAATGCTACCAACCACCTACACTGAACTGGAAGGAAAAAACCTGCCTGGATGGGTTTTAATTTTCTTGTTTCTGCAAGTTGGTTCATATATGAAAAATACAAATTATGATAAATTGTATTGAACCCTTTTTTTTTCTTGCTTACAGCTGATGGGAGTTTGGTTTAAGAAGTTGTCTATACCACCATGTTGCAAGTTTGATGCTTTAAAGTGCTGGATTCCTCATTTGGTGCACAGGATTTTCATTGCTTTGGTGCGGTTTAGGATCTCCAAGGAAGGAGGCCTGACACATTCCCTCTGAGTATAGAGGAGAGCTTCCAAGAAAGTTTCCCTTATTTTCCTTATCTTTGGCAATAAGGAAACACTGAATGCTCTCTATTTCCTATCCTTTGATTAAAAAACAGTGATAGAGCGTGGAAAGATATAAAGCTAGATGTGCTATACTGTAGGTCTGGTCTGGTTGTGAGAAACTTACCCCAACTTCCTCCTCAAACCTCTTCTTCCTCTCTCTTTCCCCAACCTCTGATTCAGTATAACCAATAAGTGATGTTAGCTGGAATGTTTGCTGCTTTGATAGCAAAAGGCTTTATTAGTGCAATGGTGAAACATACTGAAGAAAGTGAAGGGCTGAAGTCACAAATGGGTTTTGTTTCTGTTTACTTCTAAGAGATTAAATAAGTAACTTCAGGTATTTCATTTTCAGTACAGAAGAAGGATATTTTCTAGTCTGTCTCTAGCAAAACCCTGAATTAAGTGCAGCATAGGAGACAGCATAAGAAAAAACGTCCTGTCTGCACAGTGCCCCGAGAGCACTTGTTGTTTTGACATTGTTGTGACCCCATGTACAACAGGCTGCCAACAGCTAGAAAAGATCTATTCTTACCTCTCCCTTTGGGACTTGCTGGCCCATTTCTTGTGGTGTATGGCTTGGTACAAGATGACCATAGATTTTTCTATCAAGATGTCAGAGAAACTTATTTTTTTAGACAGAGATCTCTGAAAGAAATTGTAAAGCAATTTGAGGAGGTTTCCCATTCACTCGGGGACAGGGGGTAAGGTGGGTGTTCCCTGTCAAGGTGCAGAATGGGAGAAGCTGAGTAGTCGTTTTGGGAGTTGAGGATCATACAGGGACTCGTCCACTTGGGTTAGTGCTTTTAATCTGGCTATGTCGTGAGGTCTCTGCTTTTAGTAGTAATGAAGAGAAGGAGTAAAGATGTTCAGTGTTTTAGTGGTTGTTGCTAATAACTGGCATTCCATTGTGACTTGAAGATGTACTTTTTTAGGATGCGACTTGAAGATCTGTTGAAATAAATGCAAAGGAAGGGTGAAAAATGCAGCCAAGGTCGAAATTTCCCTAGGGGAGATTTGTCTCAGCAAATCTGTGTTTCATAGTGTATAAACAAACCGATGCACAGACTTTTGAATCAGAAGAAATGTACCAAGTTAATTATTGTTTTCCAGAGAAATGTGCATCTCACTTCATCCTAATTATGTTGTTGGGCACTCTAAAGACTTCCTGGGGTAGTTAGAAAAATATTTAGGTGAACTGTATATAATAATGCATATATAATTTTTGTATTTGATATTGTGGACTGTGTGTAATGCAAACAGCTCCAAAAACGTAGATGCCAGTGTATCTAGTTTTTAATGCATATTTGATGTTTAAAATACTTAATTTCCCCAACTTATTTCAGTATCTTGACTTTTTTTTCTTCTTCTTTCCAGGAACATGCTTTTGAGAGCAGCCAGAAATACAAAGAAGGAAAATTTATCATTGAACTTGCCCACATGATAAAGGACAATGGCTGGGAGTGAATCATACCGTTTTTCCTTCAGTTTGGACAATATTCTGTGGAACCTGCTTTATAAGGACTAACGCAAAGTGAAGGAAGATCTTGGCTAAAGTGGCCCTGAGAATATCACTGAACTCTGAAACCTCACACATGAGTAGTGTAGTGTAAGTGGCTATTTCAGGCCATGTTTGCCTTCTCTCCTTGTGTAAGTTCCCTCTTTTTGTATGTGTATTATTGTGTGAACGGTTGTTTTGGAACATTTTGGATGACCTTTTTCTAAACTCTCTCACACTCTAGAGAAACAGTTCACTAATTGAAAACAGATTTTACTGGTTAGCATCTATCTCTGACCTATGCCTTTAATGCTACCTTCTGCTGTGCATGCTTCTTGCCTAAACACCTACACTCCAATCCTGTAGAAGTTCTGTGTCTGAGCAGTCCTAAAGAATGTATAGGATGGGGTGCTTTTTTTATATGTAGCAATTTCTGATGTATTTGGCAGTGAAAGGGATGCAGTATTGTAATTATTCATTTATTTTTAAAAAATTTGTGTACCACAACCTGTGTACATCTTGTAGGTGAGTTGGTTAAAGGTACAGTGCTCACTTTAAAAACATTTCAATTGCACTGACTGAAATTAGCAGAGGTTTTGTTAGGAAGGGATTTGCTGATGGCTCAGTATCTTAATGAAATATCTTAGATGGATTTTAAATCAATAATGCTGTAGAATATATTCAGTTAAGACCAAAACATTACCTAAAGAGTTTGCTGGATATGGAAGAAATCTATAAAAATATAGCTTGCAAGATCAAATGGCACAAAATTGTATGCATCTTCTATTTTGGAGAAGAAAAACTAGTCGGTGTATTTAAATAGAAAAGTTTTGGTACTGTACCTTTGCCAGGGACAGGGACTTGTGCATTGCTTAAGTTTTATGGCTGGTTCCATGTAGCTGTATAGCCCTAATGCACTGGACAAAGAGGTTGATATCAAAAAAAACTTGTTGAAGTATTCTGCTTTTGCTATATTTGAACAAAAATGTTTATTTTTGTGAGACATGGCCAGAGCCTATGAGATGAAAATTAATATAGTATCTGTAGGAAAAAAAGGGGGGAGGGTAATAAAAGAGGAGAGAAGTTTGCTGCTTTTTTCATAAAATAGAAAGCAAGGTAGTTTTTAAAACATGGGGGCAGAAGGGGTTACTTGGTTTGCTGGCTAAATCACCCCCAAGGAATTTTTATAATAAAATTTATATGAAACTCCCCTTCTTTTGTTCTCCCACTGTTTCTTAACTGGAATGACTAAGGAGAGAAACTTCTGGGAAGTGCATGCACGACATTAACCGCTAGTAGCAGTGCATGCCCCGTCTCAGCAACTTGGAAAGAAATGCTCTGTGTCAATTTGCTAACTTTATTTTCAAATTAAACAGTCTCCGAAGACCTTTTGTATTTTAATCCTTTTAATGCTTGAGGACAAAATGCTTGTGGAAAACCTTTAACACTACATAAGTACTATAACTGAATCCTGTGGAAGCCTTGCAATACAAAGTCATTTTCTTTCAATAACAATTCTAACACGGCGCCTGCGGAGCGTCGTCGCGGGTGCCGTTGCTGCTGCTCTTACGCTTATGGGAATCTCTGAGAGGCTTTCTGAACTCTACTGCACTTTAGAAATTTTGTCATACATTGAAAATGATGCCAATGGGTAGGGGCAATATACAGATCTTGGAAAGCAGCTTCCCCGTGTCCTTGTGGAGAGAGGAGGGAGTTGTGCCAGCGCGAGCGCCCGCCTGCGACGCGGGCTGGTTTAACTGCGTTCAGGATGTCGGCACGATCTATAGCTATGAAATAAAAATACAGAAATTAGAGAAGTAGCTAAAACTATTGGATTTCAGTCCGAAGGGCTGGCGTGGTACAGTTGTGTTCAGTATACGTTTTGTGGCTTGCATGTTACTACTTGTTGCTTACAGGTAGGAGGAGGTTCCAAAGTCCCCTTGTGAACAGCAGCGTGGATGCAGGATGGGCCTTGGTGCTGCCTTCTCCTGGTCTTTGCTGGCCTGGAGTCCTTGGGGCTTTATCTTCCCCCGTAGTAACATGTGCTGCCGACCAGGAGGGCACTAACAGGACTATCAGCAACAAGTTTGTGTTGGCTTCAAAGTCCAGCTGGGATGTTAATGCTTAAACGGGCTCGTGGGAGGCTCGTGCATCTTTGGGCTTTTCCTGTTTCCTGGCTATAGACTTGTTGAAGCAGTACACTGGACTGAAGACAGAAGCAATAGGTGCTTTTCAATAGAGAGTTGAAATTAATTAGAATATATAAAATATTAAAGATTTTTCTCTATAAAATTGTGGGTTTGGCTATCTTGTTAGTAAGTTAATGCTGCCTGTAATACACTCTGATTCTTATTGAGAAATTCAACCTCTTTTTTCAGTGCATTACTTATGTTTCATACTGGACATTTTCACCAAAACCTTAATCAACTTTGATGCCAAAGGTTGGGACTTCATCAAGTGCTTAGCACATAGAACTGCAGACTATGGCATAAGGAGTTAATCATCTCTGTGTGATACTTATGGCTTTTAAGAGAACCAAACAAAGCAATATTCTCGTTGGTCTTTTAAGAGTGCAAGTTTAGGAGGATTCAGGAGTAGAACTAACACAGAATTGCTCTTACATGCTCCCAAGTGACAACTCTTTAGGCTCATTTTATTGAGGGGGTGCATGAATCTTTTCCTCGAGTGCTTGGCAGCATCAATGATTACTTTCTCCCCTTGTGAAGATTCAGAGAGATCGTTTTATCGGTTTTGGTGAAAGTAGAATCCAGACAGCAATGGCTGCTGGCTGATGTGAAGAGGTCAGTCTGGTCACTGACCGCTCCAGCAGCCGCTGGAAAGAAAAATAATCTTACTTGAAAAAATTTTACTAAAGCATTTTCCCTCTAACCAATTTTTTGTAATATATTAAAGATTATATTTAAAGTTTGTATGTGTTTGCTCTGGGCAAGTTTACTTCCCCTTCAACTTGAGCACTTTTGTTACTTGTACTGGTTATTTTTATTGTTGATCTTAACATTTATTTTGTATTTTGTTTTTTACAAACTGTAACAAAAAGCTTTTGTGAACCTTCGTTTCTTGCTGGCTCTTTCTTGGACCAAATGAACTGACTATGAGCTGGCTTAGAAGAAATGTTCATTGGGATGCATAGGAATTTGCTAGCAAAAATGTACATGTATTGAAAGTTTTTTTTTCCTCTGAACCTCTAAAGTCACCGCCTGTTCTAAAGTAATTAAACATAACTTGATGTGACTTCGTAATCTGACATATTCTCTGTCTAAGTCCGGAATAGTGGCTGTAATAACGTAGGTGTTCCGGGATAGAGTGTCCTCCAAAGACTCAGTCCTTTGGCTCATCACTCTAAACACCTTTTTGAGTAATGGGAGGCAATGCTGCCATCTACAAAAACCCCGTTACGTTGCAAACCTTGCAGAGAAAGAGCTGCAGAATGCAGAGAAAGAGCTGCAGAATGCAGGGAGGGCTTGCAGCCGCACCAGCCCAAGCGCAGGAACTTCATCTGCCAATAACAAGGGCCAGCACCTTAATTTCTCAGCCATTGCGAGGTATACAAGGATGAACTGTGTTAATTAAATTCATTATAACTCAGTCTCTCAGTCTCAAGATCCCAGTAACAAGGTCTAGTTTAACTGTCCACCCGAGTGGCAGCTGGCACACCTGCAGCGTTGGCCATCTCCGGGAGAGAGAAATAATTGTCTTGAATTACAATTTGGTCTCAGAAGTGCTGGCAGTCACCAGGATGTCCATAACCAAAGGCCATCTGTGTTTCTTACTGGTGTATCGAGGTAGTGAGTTGATCGGTCCCGCGCAGCGTGCCCGGTGGGCTCCGCATCCCTCCAGCTGCTGCCTTGGGAGCTTCCCGCTCGCTCCTCTCCGCAGGGAGGCTGCAGCAGCAGCAGCTCCACCGCACTGGGGATCCCAGAGAGTCACTGGCCACGTTGGTAACGTCTCCAGTCCTTGATAATGCAGACGGCTGGAAGAAACTGTCAGATTGTTGAACTTCCTGGACACTTCATTGTACTTCATTAGCACTCATGTAAGCCAACCAGCAGCATAAACACTTACTGCAAAAAGAACAGATGCTTCAGAGGCTTCTTTAAAAGGACTGTTACAAGTGGTTTAAGGCCTAAGCATGAGTCATAAATAGCAATTGAGTTGTGCCTCATTGTTTCTTAAACTCTTTACAATGCTTTCTTTTACAGGTGACATGGCTGTGTTGCTGTTTTGTCCTAGCAATACTGTACATCATTTGTTGTTTCACTATATTGTATCTACTTGAGGTATCACAATAAAAGCTTTTAATTGTTTTGTTGAGTTGTGTCTTATTTGTGCCTTTTATGATGATATGAATTATTTCCATTCTTTTTTTCTCTCATAAGACCAGAAAAAGAGGCCAGTGCTCTTAGTTGCTCCTAAAAACTTTGGTATGTGGGCTGAATTTGACTTCATGTGGTTAAAGATTGTTGCTAAGCATTTTTTTTCCCTTTTGCTGATCCTTCTAAACTGCATATAAGTAAAATGAGTTCCTACTTTATGAAGCTCTTTCCCCTTTTGAGCTACTTGATAAAACTTCAGCAAACTGAGTGCTGCTAAAGAGACAGTCAGTCTGTGCACACCCCAAAACTAACTTGCAGAGAATATTTCAGGAAGTGCGAGTGTGTTTCTGTTGGATTGTTTTGGTCATTGCAAGGCCAAAGCAGCAGTCTGAGCACAGGCCCTGCTATTTCTGCTTTCGATGGGAGGAACTCGTGTAGTTCCTCTAACCAGATTTACAGTCTTTTCACGTGTCAGGGGATTTAAGTCCCCACCCTGCCTCAATAACAAGAATCTGATCAAAAGTGAATTGGAATAGACTTTGGTTTTACTCAATCCATGTAGCTGCAAGAAAGTGTGCTGCATCCCTAAAAAGGAAGGACCCCACCAACACCTAAATACCAACTTCTTGCCTTGAAAGTCATGTCGGTCCATCACCTACTGGCCAGAGCTGCAGGGCGTGAGTGGCTCCTAGATTCTGCAGCGGAAAATGCCTGTTCCAAACAGCAAGAGTTTGGGCCGGGAAGGGAAAACGAGGCCAGAGGGGAGCGGTATCGTTATCTGGTGGTAGCTCCGGTCCACGCGTTGCCCCGCGTTCAGCGCGTGGACACCGGCTCCTGCTCAACAGGGCACCCCCGGTTAGCCCAGGTCCTGTTGGCTGCACCAGTGTGTTTGGGAGACCTGAGGCCTTTCAACAAATGCAGAATTTTGCACTTAGGAACTTCGGGGCTTTTGTTCACTGAATCCTCAAGTTTCTCAAAGGCTCTGTGGATTTAAACTCCATTTTCTTACACACAAATTACCCTTCCTATTTAGAGATGTGTAACTGTGGGTCCAAGATCTCCTCTGATCAGTGCTGAGGTCGTGGTTCTACATGAGCCCCAATATTGTTACGGGACTCTGCCCCCTACTCACTGCCAACCGCACATGGAGCCTTTGGTTGTTGCTGGTGGACCCAGAAAGCCCAAGCAGTTTCCAGGGCACTCACTGGTCTCTCCATCCCGCTGTAACAGGCTGTACAACGCCAAGGAAGGTGGTGCCAGTGCTCTTGTAACAGACACTGCACCAACCACCCTGCGTAGGGCTGGTTGCTACTGAAGCAGTGGGGTTGGGCAGGCCAGGTTGTGCAGCTGTGATCATCGATTTGCTTATTTTTTAACATAAATAATCAGTAAGAGGCATCGAATGTAAATACGAAACACTAGTTTGAATCTGAACACTTTAAATGAATTTAGGGGCGATAACTCATGGATTTTTTTTAGTGGCATCTAATTTTTATTTAACTAACTTGAACATTCAGCCATTATTGAATATAAGTGTATCAAATATGAGCCCTTTGCATGGGCCAAGGTGGAGAACCATCTCCTGCTCCCTGGGCAGCCTTAC